CCTTTTCATTTTCGAGCATACTAAGACTGTTAATCTTTTATTATAATACAGATATTATAATACAAATTATGCAGACAAAATATTAGATGCATTTGTATTAAAACATATTTTCAAGTATACGTACCTTGACTTACTTTTAACAGTTAATTGAAAAAAAGATTATCAAAGTTAGCTTGGCTGCCATATTCAAAGTGATCATAATAGCGAACAAGAAGATGCGATGACGAAAATAACACCACTTGAAAAACGTTCTTATTGATATTTTAGAAGGAATGAAACGTACAAGGACTAAATGCTGAGGATAAGTAGAAAATGAGTTGGAGGCGAAGCATGCGAAGGTTGAAAGAATCTTTTAATCTAAACGTTCTTGGATGCTCCCAAATCTTATGTAATTCTGTCCAATTATGCTTGTACTTTGAGTAGAAATGTATACTGAAACAACTAGACAATGAGACCGAGTGGTCCATGGCGAATAGTGAACTCAGGCTTGTAGGCTACGCCATCGTTGAATATTCGCCTCGTTGTCCAATTGTTAATTTGTCCAGTGCTACAACATTCGGAGAAAAGTAAGCGGTTCAATTCAGCCAACTCCGTTATAAGTAATACGTAATAAACGATATACGTTAGAAAAATATTTTTTCTTGTGTTTTTCTTAGCAATATACTGAGACCCCAGCAGGAAACGACGTTCTATGCAAGTCCAGGGAGCAAATCCCTATTTTATCCCTATTTTACTTTCTATTTTATTCCTATAGAAAAGCTATTTTATTTTTAACCCTATCATATTGCTATCACATATACAAATCCTATATTAAACCTATTAGAACTTTGTTTTAATTGTATTTTATGGCTACTATAAATAGGTTTTTTTGAAACAAAAAATAGCCTATTTTAAATAGATTTTATTTTTCTGAATCGGTGAAGCACATATTAAAATAGGTTTAAAATAGGATAAAATATATTTAAAATAGAGTGCAAAATAGAAATAAAGTAATAAAGTAAAGTGAAATATTGGTAATAAAATAGATTTTAAATATACATAAAATAGGTAAAAAATAGTCGAAAATACATATAAAATAGTGGATCAACTGCAGTATATTAACTAAAAATAGTAATAAAATTACTGCAAAAATAGTAATAAAATAGTTTAAAAATATGAATAAAATACTGATAAAATAGTAATATATTAGTAGAATTTAAAATAGTGATAAAATAGCGAACAAAATAGTAAAAAAATAGTTCAAAATTCTTATAAAATAGTATAAAAATAGTAACAAAATTGTAATAAAATAGTCGAGAGTCATAACAGTTCTAAAATGATTAATAAAATAGTTATAAAATAGTCAGAAAGTAGTAATAAAATAGTTATAAAATAGCAATAAAAGAATAGTAAAATAGTCATAAAATAGCAATAAAATAGTCAGAATATAGCAATAAAATAGTTATAAAATAACAATAAAATACCTAAAAGTATATAAAAATAGTAGCACTGCAACATAGTTACTTCATAAAGTAATAAAATTGTAGTATGATAATTAAAACCAGTTAAAAAATAGTAATGAAATAATATCAAATTGGCTGAAAATCTAGCAATGCAGTACCATGGTTGACAGGTATATATTATCGTTTAAAATTGTATAAAATAATACACATAAAACAGTTTAACAGGGGTGAATGTGGCAGTTTAAGCAGTGTCAAATCAATGGCATTGTTTACCACAGTCAGAGTTACCAACGTTTGAGTAACTGTAAGGAATCTATTACACGATTGGGTTTCAAATCAATTGCAGGATGAGCAGTCTAGTACCTGTAGTCTACAAGCAGTTAGACCCATATGACCAAGCATCTTGCAGATCAAGTAGGTATTGCCAATACATGTCTGCTTAATTGTCAGTATTAAAAGGTGAAAAATGGGCAAGCAGACCGCAGTCGATAAGCAAAATTTTTCTAGCTTGAGACCACACAGTTAAATATTGTGTGCAGAACTTAAAGTAGGGAGTGTTAAGGAAAATTACATCTAAATATGAGGGGGTAATTGGGGGGGAGGGTACCGATCCTGAAGCACGAAAAATAATATGCAGCGATCTTGAAGCATGAAAAATAAAAGAAGGAAGTCCTGAAGCACGTAAAATAAATTTATTACGAATCTGAAATGTAAAGTGAACATGAAATGTAAGCAACAATCATACTTAGAAGTCTTAAAGGTGAATATAAACAGTCTGTACTAGGCGGTGTGTTCACCTATTTGTTTACAATTGCGTCGATGTTCATGATTTATATAAACTTTGAAACCTCCGTTCCCCAATCAAAACATAGCTAAAATCCAGAAACAAAATTAATGGAATATATTGTCCAGAAACGAGAAATAACCGTCTTATAAATACAGCTGAAAACGGAGAACGGATATCGAATACACCGCAAGCACGATACACGGCATCCATGTCGGGATCGAAAAACGTTTAATAAAAAGATGACTGAACGAAGAACGAATAATTAAATTACCCAATACGCAGCACGAAAATACCCCATTACCCCCCTCTAGTATGAATTCGGCTATTCAAATTTAAGGGCTGCATGGTAAACTAAAAATATAAACTCCTTATATGGATAAACATTATAAACGTTCATTTCACATGTACACGCACGCTAACAGCTGCTTAATAATTAACTTACGTATTCGTAAACATCAGTCGATAAATAAAATGGTACATTAATATGGACAAAATGGAACAAAACCTCTGGAAACAGCAGTTGTAGTTCCAATTATTTTGGGGAATTTAGTAGCAAATATAATCCCTAAATAGCTCATCGATTTGTATATGTTTAATAGCGCTAAAGTCAAACGGCTGGGTCGTATAGATCACGTTGAATAATGATCTGAAGTTATCATGCGACCGACAACAATGTCTCAAAACACCGGCTGTTTGATGATTTTTTTACAAACATACCGAGATTTCTGGACCACTTTTAAACTTAGCAAGGCGAAAAGTCTCCATTCAAGAATATGTTTTTTTCTCAAAAGGTAAAATACTTAGAATATTTGATTAAATTGTTTACTTCGACGGTGTATAAATTAACAGCGTTAGACTTGCAAGACGTCAAAAACGGACGATTTCAACGCGCTGTCGTTTATCGCGTATTCATTTGCCAAAAGAAGTATTTACGTCAATTGAAAGCTTCTTTATTAAAGAGCCAACTAGTAGAAGCATGATCGATTTGGAGCTTTATCGCATGGTGAAAATCGGTTTTGTTAAGAGGGTATCGTAAACGAAGTAAGATAGTGTGCTCCAAAACTACGATTATTTCTATTCCTAAAAGTGACTCAGATTTTCTGTAAGTCATGTAAACAGTCCTTTGAATAACCGAAAACAAGATTTTTAGGGTTTTAAATCGATTAGAAACGGTTGTCGTCGTGAAATTTGTCTGTAAAATCAGCGCATATTTTCCCAGACAAAATGGCGATTTAGGGTGGTCGTGTTAAAACGGCATTTTCTCAAAGTTAAAAAAGCATTTGACCTAAAAAAATATCTGATGCATTTTCCGATATAATAAGGTATTTCTGGGCAAAATTTGAGCAAAATCGATTTTTCAGTCGTGGCCGCGAAATATCTCATATGTTCGATTTTTACTGACATTCACTCTTAAATGTCCAAGGGGTAGTAGATCCCCGTGATGGTCATTGTTTACTTTAATGTCCAAGGGGTAGTAGATCCCCGTGATGGTCATTGTGTACTTTAATGTCCAAGGGGTAGTAGATCCCCGTGATGGTCATTGTTTACTTTACAATACACTGTATAATACATTGATTTGTGTGAGTCTATGGGGTTGAGGTTGACCTTTGGGAGCACTCCATCCCCAAACAACCAAATATTTTTATTTTTACAACCAGACTTGCAAAGTCAATTCCAATACTGTATATTACAAAATATAGATGTGCCTGTAATAACATATTAACCAGTAAACTACTCCATAATACTTTATCTATAACACTACATGAATTGCATTTCATGTGAATCTTGATCACGGATTGCATATCAAAACAATATTTACAGATTTTTATTTATTATGTGATACAAGTTATGATATAGTGGTGCAAAATCCTTGAAGGGTGGGATGGGTGGTAATTTTGAAGTACTTTGCCACAGAGATCATACAATTTTGCTTGCAAGTGACACAATGAGGCTTACTGATCCAAGCAGGGAACTATGCAGACGAAGAGGTGAAACCTGATTGGTCTATTTTCCCGCACGCATGGGAAGAGACTTGACAATGGTTTGTTGTTAATTCAGCCTTGCGCTTTGCACGTGTATGATCACACGATTCACAGATTGACCTTTGTACCAGACCTTTGTACTCCAGGAGACTTTGCACAACTTTACTCTTGTGCTAACGCTTATTTCATTAACTTAAGTTTATAATGCTATGGGCATGTATAAACTTGCTTTAATACACCAATTCGTTAAGCAAATATTCTAGGACAATTAAGAAAACAACTATGATACACACAATGTTGTGGGAGAAGGGTTGTCGAGGAGAAATGCTCCGATTATACTTTAAACTGTGGCCAAAGTGTCGCCCCACAGTCCACAGACTCACTATTACAGCAATATGATTATGATATAATTATATGTCCTCAGGGGGTTGTGGTTCCCCCATGTTGGACTTTACCCAAGGGGTAGTAGATCCCCGAGATGGGCATCTTAAATGTCCAAGGGGTAGTAGATCCCCGTGATGGTCATTGTTTACTTTAATGTCCAAGGGGTAGTAGATCCCCGTGATGGTCATTGTTTACTTTAATGTCCAAGGGGTAGTAGATCCCCGTGATGGTCATTGTTTACTTTACAATACACTGTATAATTCATTAATTTGTGTGAGTCTATGGGGTTGAGGGTGACCTTTGGGAGCACTCCATCCCCACAAATAACAGCATGTGTATTCCCCATAGACGAAAAAACCCAACTCCCACCTGTAATCGTATAGAAGACAGATGATCTTTGTGCTTTTCGAAGACATGTCGTCTATATTTGTCTTTCGACACACTTTAAATAATTAATTGATTAAAATCATGTTATATGCAAATAGAATTTTTTTTTTTTTTTTAACTACAAGTTGATCGTAAGACATATATTTGAGCATTACCATCACTCATACTACAGCTGGAACATCAGGGAGGCCAGGAAAAACCTGCAATATCTTTACAGGAAACCTGGATGGGGCCAAGACAACCAGCAGCTTCCCCACAAAGCTTCTATCTTACAAGTGCTTGATTGGAGGGTTGGTAACACGACAAACAAAGCTCACCATCATTTATTTTTTTTCCTCACGATTTATTTATTTTTACTGTCAATGTGTTCGATAGCAATTTTGCAATATGTATTTGTTAACCCCACTTATTATATTTGAATTTTGATTGGTGGAACTTGACATAATGTAATTCTCGAATTATATGACTTTAATCTCAGGAAAAATAGCTTGTTCAATATTTTAAAATAGCAGGATCAAAATGCAATTCAGGTGTTTATAACCACAGTGTTGTGATTGAACATGCAATCATGCATGCATGCATGCATGAGAGTAGCAGAAATTGTAAGAATATGTATTTGGTAGACTAAAAAGATCATGCAGTATAGTGATAAGACATTAATGAATTTTCATGAGTAACCAATCTTTTATGACATATCCAACTTGCCGATTTATCGCAAATGTAGATAAAGTAGATCCTAAATTTCTCTCACACATGAACTTGATTTCCTATGTTGTGCCCAGTAAGGTATTGATAATGTATACGGGCCAAATTAGTGTTTGTTTTATTAAAGAGTGCCCTGAAATAGCTAGAAAGGAAGTTTTATATAATCTACTTTTTAATGATTGAATACAGTTTAATGTGACGCTTTATTGAAACCCAATCCCCGAATCAAAGGCCCAATCTGGCCGGTTAATTAATAACCTCAAGATGGTAATAAAATTGACATTGAAATCGAAATTGAAATACAGATCGATTTAGCGTGAATAGTTGATACATTTGGCGTTCGACAATTACTATTCCCAAATTCTGTGATAAAATAGATAAAGTTAAAGCATTTTGGTTGGTTTGGAAAGCGAAATACGAAGCAAACATGTGAATTCACCGCATACTTACGCACCAAATGCATGTGCATACATATACATTGATATACGAATGATATCAAATGACGCTTGTTGAATTCGTGTATGGCCTCTCGATCTTGTCAATCTTGTTATAATTCCCCCAGCGGCGGCTTCATTTAACTTCATCGGTTGAGCCAACGTATTCCTTTGTCCACCAGAAAGGTAAAAGCGCTTGACCACGGTAGAGTTATACTTGAATAGACTGCGTCTCACTGAATCACACATCGATACTTGAGCCAAGGTATTCCTTTGTCCACCAGAAGAGTAAAAGCGCTTGGCCGCTTGAGGCTTACTGATCCAAGCAGGGAACTATGCAGACGAAGAGGTGAAACCTGATTGGTCTATTTTCCCGCACGCATGGGAAGAGACTTGACAATGGTTGTTGTTAATTCAGCCTTGCGCTTTGCACGTGTATGATCACACGATTCACAGATTGACCTTTGTACCAGACCTTTGTACTCCAGGAGACTTTGCACAACTTTACTCTTGTGCTAACGCTTATTTCATTAACTTAAGTTTATAATGCTATGGGCATGTATAAACTTGCTTTGATAGTTTACGAAATACCTTCCAAATTTGCATCCAATGAACACATATTTTGTTTCAAACCACCCATTTTTGTTGCGCAAGCCATTTAAAAAATCAACCTCGGCACGCCCTCAAGCTGCGGAAAGACCCTGGTTGGGGCTGGTCACGTGACACCACAGATTCTGGGGTGTTTTCAATTAGCGTTTTAAAAACACTCAGGGAAGAGTGGCAAAGGAGTTATTGCCGATGCTGTCAAATGTAAAAATAAACAAAGCAAAGGCACGCCTATTAGCACATTTTTATGTTACTAAAAATATATTGTAACCTCGAGCGCTAATAGTAATGTGAAAGAAACTCCTAAAAGGTATATAAATCCTGTAGTGTGCCATCCAAATTCACATGTCGATCGCTTTGTCGAAGTATTAAGTCACACGTCGCGGTAAATATACAAGATATGAAGATAATATATTTCTAGATTGACCAGTATATCCTGATACTCGACCCAAAGGATTTCATATTTAATAACGACAAGAGGGATCTTATGATTTCCGAAATATCGCCAATTGTAAACTTTGTAACAATATTAAAGACCGCGTGGTGTGTAATTTCCTGCATTGGCTTCACTGAAATTTAGTCAGGCAGATAGAGGAACAAAATTATGGAAAACTTACCATATCGTGGGACAATTCCATTTTGCCTTCATATTGTGCCCTGAAGGCTAGTAAGTACGTTTCTGTATGTTGGCCGCGCTAAAATTTCCTGTGGGCTCCTGCCGACACGTTTTTCATCGAATTTTGTATTAAACTTTATTACAGTTAAAAATGTGAAATTTCTGATACATTTCTAATACAAATGACCCGCATCAATAGAAAGCTAACAAAAACTACATATAACTATAAGACATTTAAATGGTTAGTTGGGATTTTCAAGCGGTTTTCGAGTTATTGCCGTTTCAAATGTGAAAAATAAGCCTAAGTCTCGCAAAATTCCTGGGTACTAGTCTGAAAACACGTATTCAACAGCTCATAACTCAAGAAGAACTTGAAAACCCCGGGTAACCATTTAAATGTCATATATGTAGTTTTTTGCAAGCTTTCAAATAATGGAAGTCATTTGTGTTAGAAATATATTTGAAATTTCACAGTTTTTTAACTGTAATTAGAGTTTAATACAACATTCACAGAAAAACGTGTCGGCAGGAACCCACAAGAAAATTTAACGCGACCAACATACAGAAACGTACTTACTAGCCTTCAGGGCACAATATGAAGGCAAAATGGAATTGTCCCACGATATGGTAAGTTTTTACCTTCTATCTGCCCGACTAATTCAACGATCAAGAAATATCAGAGAAGAAATATGCCGAAATATATAACTCTCTGTTGTCAAATCCACGGTAAAATAATACCACAACAGCCGGCTACTCGAAAGAATAACATGCAAGTACAGTCTACGTACTAATTATACGGTACATAAATCAACCTATTTCTCGGATATTATAGACAATAGTCAATACAAATAGACACCGCATAATAAAATATAAATTTGCATGATAAACAGCTTGAATTGTGACATTGTCATTTGCTTTACTGTGATCGATGACGATGTTCTTTATAATAATATAAATACAAGAGGATTTTTATTTTGTGAAATATATAACGATTTATAATTCGGATTTATATAAAAGAATGCTGGCATTCATAGTTCCCTGCCACGAAATCTTGCAAAAAACATTGAACGTATACAGAAGCGAGCAATGAAAATAATATTCTATGAATTGTCTTACGACGAGGCTCTTAACATCGCTGGTATTTCTACTCTTGAAAACAGACGGGAGTATCTATCCAATAATCTCTTCAACGACATTGTTCTAAATGATGATCATAAACTTGCCAAACTTTTACCATCCAAAGCAGGCAATAGAGAATTACGAAAAGAAAGATCTTTTGAAGTTTTACCAGCAAATACAAATCGTTTCGGAAACTCTTTTATCAACTTTTATGCTAAGAAACATTACAAATTAGATGTTCCTTGAACATTTTAGAATTTTTAACTCATATAGATTAGTACATTTAAGTATATGATATATAGTATATATTAACAATTTCTAAATTGCATTGTAATATAGAATTTTTTACTATTTATAACCTTGTAACACTTAACGTCATGTAATTCAGTCTTCTGACTGCCAGATGATGTTTTTATTAAACAAACTATTCATTCATTCATAATGTTTGTACTTCACTACCTATAGTGGCTATACCCATTCTCCTAAAGTTTTCAATAAAAACGATGAACTACTTTCAAAGATAAATCACAGACAGTTTTACTGTTTTGGTTTTATTTAGAAGTCAAATGTTTCACATTGGCTTACGAACTCTTGAAAAAGTTACTTTTGAAAATTTATATCAACCTTTGAACAAAACAAGGCGCGTATAATTTCAAATAAATCGGTTCAAAGCTTATCAACATTTCCAAACAACAATTAACAAATCTATAATGGCATACTTGTTATAGAAATATTAGAAATATAATAACAGTAACAACTGTCAACTGACCGATTTGATACGAAACATCTTGAAAGCATGGGGGATTGCGATTTTCTAGCTTTGTTGACTTGACTGTTGACAAAATGTTTTAATTTGTAATTAAAAAGCAAACAGAAAAACACAAAAATTAGCAAGCATTTCGAACCATGTATCGCAAAAATGGCGAAATATAATTCAGATCACTCTGATCCATTCCTTGTAATTGAAGTGTAACGTTTTTTTGTGGAAGCATGCAATTTGAAACTCTGCCCTCCCCCTTAGCCAATCTATTTTTGTAAAGTCACATGACCAGCCCCAACCAGGGTCTTCCATAGGTAAGACCCTCAGTACGAAAATTTACCTGTTATCTGTGAATAATTCTGTGATATTTTTTAAATGGCTTGCGCACAAAAATGGTTGGTTTGAAACAAAATTTGTATTAGTCTAGGACCTGTATATGAGTTTGTATGCATTTCATTTAGGACAGATAATCTCAACTGTTTTAGGATAAGTTGACCATGACGGTCAACATGGTAACGCTGCCCGAACCCCAATCCGGGACGAAACGTCCGAAACCGACCACACCCAAAAACGATGCTTTCGCCATAGTGCTATCTACCAAACCATACAAGGTTTGGCTATTCTGAGATGCTTATATGGTTCAGAGATGGTGCATTTAGGGGTTGTCATTGGTAAGTGTGAAATGCCTAGCACTGATATTTCACAAGAAAATGACCATGCAATACTCATAGTCAAACGTCAATTTGTGGCTTACAACTTCAGATAAACAGCATTGGATCTACATTACCTTTTGTCCTAAATCTTTTTTATAGAAACATAATTGTTACTTATTTAATTATATTAGTACTGTTTTGGTGTAAAGTGGTTAATATTTTGTGACCAAAATAATAACTTCAATTTGAAATGTACCTACCTCCTGCAAATGGACGTATTTGGCCAAATTCTCCACTTTATTCCGCTGTTTATCGCAGATCTCGTTGAAATCCTTCCAAATATGCGGTTCAGCTCAAACATGACGGTATCAAGCACATTTTAAACAAGTTTTAACTGGGTTTCAAGTAGATCCTAGCTGTTTAACCATGGACAAGGTAAAACCTCAACTTTGTCCAAATTCGGCGCCATTTTGTCATCCCGTTCGGCTGTCCACATATCGGCCTCCTTCCATCCAAGCCTTCTTCCATGACAAATTTAACCCTTTGTTTAGGGTATTAAAATAAAAATAAAAATAAATTATGCGAAATGCAGCATTTTATCACGCTGTAAGATCTTGCTTACGAGTCTTTCAAAACATTCCGTACAAATCTCGTGTGGCAAAGTAACAGGGACGTGACAGGGGGGTGGAGACTTGTTGATTGTTGGTTTTACCATTATACTGCGTTTTGCATGCTTTTGCTTTTATTTTTGAAGTCTCCACCCCCCTGTCACGTCCCTGTTACTTTGGCACGCGAGATTTGTACGGAATGTTTTGAAAGACTCATAAGCAACATCTTACAGGGTGATAAAATGCTGCATTTCGCATAGTTTTTTATTTGTATTTTTATTTTAATACCCTTAACCAACGGTTAAATTTGTCATTATTACTTGTTAAATGGCTTGGATGGAAGAAGAACGAGGCCGAATTGTGGACAGCCGAACGGGATGACAAAATGGCGCCGAATTTGGACAAAGTTGATGTCTTACCTTGTCGATGGTTAAACAGCTTGGATCTACTTGAAACCCAGTTAAAACTAGTTTAAAATGTGCTTGATACCGTTATGTTTGAGCTGAATTGCATATTTGGAAGGATTTCAACGAGAACTGCGATAAACAGCGGAGTAAAGTGGAGAATTTGGCCAAATACGTCCATTTGCAGGAGGTAGGTACATTTCAAATTATTATTTCGGTCACAAAATATTAACCATTTTACACCAAAACAGTAATAATATAATTAAATAAGTATCAATTATGTTTCTATAAAAAAGATTTAGGAAAAAAGGTAATGTAGGTCCACTACTGTTTATCTGAAGTTGTAAACCACAAATTGACGTTTGACTATGAGTATTGCATGGTCATTTTCTTGTGAAATATCAGTGTTAGGCATTTCACACTTGCCAATGACCACCCCTAAAAGCACCATCTCTGAACCATATAAGCACCTCAGAATAGCCAAACCTTGTATGGTTTGGTAGATAGCTCTATGGCGAAAGCGTCATTTTTGGGTGTGGTCGGTTTCGGACGTTTCGTCCCGGATTGGGGTTCGGGCAGCATTACCATTTGACCGTCATGGTCAACTTACCCTAAAACAGTTGAGATTATCTGTCCTAAATGAAATGCATACAAACTCAAATACAGGTCCTAGACTATATTCGTTGGGTGCAAATTTGGAAGATATTCGTGAACTATCAAAGTACCAGACTATTTGATGTATGGAGATGGAGATGTTAGAAGACCCCCAAACTTCCCAACTGTGCACCTTTACACAGCCTGTATGAGTTTGTCTTTTTTGCAGATGTGTCAAATGGGCGGAGATAAATATTTTGCTGTTGCAAATTATGATATAGAAGACTTCAGTCCGTTTATCAACGAGAATTCACCGGTGACAGTTACGTATCGAGTACTTAAACAGGGTGGAATAAGGTAAGTCATTTTAATATTATAAAGCGTCTAGAATTAGTAATTCATTTCATATACATATGATCGGGTGTGCAAAATATTGTGTAGGATCTCAAAAAACAAAGTTGTGGACTGGAATGTATACCATAGTCCATGTACCAATTATCAAAATCCACGATCCATGGAAATCCGGAAATGAAATACTGTATTTAGCCCCCTTTCGTGCATGGGGACATATTGTTTCCAGTGGTTCTTTACTGACAGTAGTTCTTTACTGACATTAACTTTTTCTTAGTTCTTTACTGACAGCTATTAGAAGCGCGTTAAATAGAGGCTTGGCGGCTAAATAAAATTTCACGTTCTTTATACCAAGATATACTGTCTTGGTAGTGCTAGGTCGTTACATGCCTTCCTCGTGGAACAGGCAGAAGCCAACATTAAAAAATTTCAAACACATGATTTAATAAAGTACGAAACAAACTCCGAATAGAAGTTCCACCTTGGATTCAATAATTTAAGAAAAACAAGAGGAGACACAATTCGACAGTAATATTTGGAATTTGTTACAAATTTATCTTCAGAATAATTTATAAAGGCTACCTTAGGTCTATATATACAAGCATGATGAGATCATAAACAGGAAGAAAGCGTGGGTGAGATCAACAGTGGGTGTGGTCTCAAGTCGAATAGTGTGAGTTCTTTGCTTTGAGTCGAGTGTTTAATTTGGTTTGAGAGATTTGATAAAAATGCTTCCATTAATGAAAGACAAGTTTTGTTCAAAGAGCTATTTAATGTGGCTCAATACAGTTTTAAAAAATGGAAAATTCACGATTTAGATGCGTATTTTTGGACAATTATTAGATGTTGATAAACAAAAAGTACCTTACTTATATAAAACAACATCTAAAGAGTTTGAATTTTTGCACAAAAGTTACGCAACTGCCGTGTTTTGGCTTTAAAGTAATTTAAGTCGTAAACGACATCGGCTGCACAGAATTTTTTTAAAATTGTCAACGTAATTCAATATACTAAGAGAAATCAGTTTTTAAAATAAAATGTGGGGGTCACCTATGTCGTTTACGAGTTAAATTACCCTTTAAACCCAAAATGCAAACTTTGTGCTAAAATGCAAACTCTTTAGATGTTGTTTTATATAAGTAAGGTACTTCTTGTTTATCAACAAGTAATACTTGTCCAAAAATACGCATCTAAATCGTGAATTTTCCATTTTTTTAAAAACTGTATTGAGCCACCTTAAGTACATAATTTTGTATCGACCCGATGTTCCTGTAAGAAGCACAAGAGGTGACCACAGAGCAAGACCTCCAATTTGGACGAGGGACTACGTTTGAAATTAAGAACATTCCCTGTTTGGGAGAGAATCATGTTGTGGGTTTTTAACACTGATTACTGATATATACACAGTAGTTTAAATATAAACTTGTTATCACGTCAGCAAATGGCGTGTAGTTTGTACTGTAAGTTGGACAGCAGATTTATAGGTTTTCGCTACGAGTTTTCTTAAATTTCTGATATTTTAACACGATTAATTTAAATAAAGTTCTATTTTAAACTCAACAAGACCATCAGTGAAAGACTTTCTTCTAGAAATATCCTACTCATGTTGTCTAATAAAACTGATCATGTATTTTTGTATTTAGTGAACGTATATGCATACGTTCACTAAAAATAAAAGCCACAATTCGTGACTTTAAATTGATACAATAACCTGCCAATCACAATGAAAGTGAATTTATTTGCCCCCTGACCGCCCCTGATGATTGCAAAGTTTATATATAGCATTTGGAACGGCAATTGCTAGATAGCATACTTCAAAATAAGGTTTCCGTTTTTATATCAATTTTTAAAATAATTAAAATAAGTTAGGGTTAGGTTAGGGTTTAGGTTAGGGTTAGGTTAGGGTTAGGTTGGAGTTAGGGTGAGGGTTAGTATTAGGGTTAGGGCTTAGTTTTGCGTTAGGATAGTTTTTTCTACGTTATAAAAACGGAAACCTTATTTTGAAGTATACTATCTAGCGATCACCCATTTGGAACTGTCTGTGCCAGTGTAGGTAGTGCCAGTAATAACAAGCTTTCGTTGGTAGGGATGCATCTACCTGAAAAATATAAGGAGAATTTCGACGTTTCGTTTGGCCCTTCGTTTGGAGTTACTAGCGGGGTCGGGAAAATTACATCAGCTTTTATACAAAGAAAATAAAAGCGATCACGTGACAAAAAATTAACCAATCAGATGGATTTAGTCAAAACAAAGTATAAACAAAAAATGTAAATCACATTACAGAATATATTAATACAAATATACAGAAAACTACAACAAATACAACAAAATATATCAATAAAGTGTAGAAAAGTACTGTCAATGTCTGCTTTTGACAGGCGAAGACAGGAAAAACGTTAAACACAGGAAAAATGTTAATTAATGCCATAGGGGTGGACAGTGCCAAGTTTGGAAATGAGGCGCATTTCACGGCTTCTGCGGCTATCGTTGCTTCCAAAAATGAGACAGGGGGCTCGAATTTCCATATCTGAAACACTGTGACTGCCAATGTCTGGCAACAGGCTGGTTAACCTACCTCCGCAGGCCTTTCAAGAATTAGGGAGGGGAAATTTCTGGCGGTGAAACTTCGTCTCAAATTTTAACCTGCGAACGGGCATACTCATTACGGCCTGTAGAAGAAGTAGCTGGTTAGCATCATTGCCAATGGCAATGACTACACGCCGATGTTCACCAAACCTTGTCCTCAAAGAGCTTCTAGTTTCCTCCAATATAAAGCATGCCACATTTTATCCTGTGAACGGGCATACTCAGTATGGCCTGTGGTGGAGGTAGCTGGTTAGCATCATTGCCAATGACGGTACGTCGATGCTCAATAAACCTTGTCCTCAAAGATCTTCCAGTTTCCTCCAATATAAAGCATACAACGTCTGCATCATGTGCACCTCCTCCCATCTCATCTACTGCACGTACCTCATGCAGTATTAGCTAATATATTCTGTAATGTGATTTACATTTTTTGGTTACACAGGGTGTATAAGTAAAACCTGATTCTTATCCCGCATTATATGCTGAACTCAAAAGTAATAATATTGACGTGTGTGCATTTCTGAAACGTGGTTACATCCAACTGTATCGAGGTATCTAATTTGTCCTCCCGGGTTCCACATTATTAGAAAAGATACGCTATAAGTACTCGCGGTGGCCGGGAGTAGCAATTTTATGTAGAAATGATTGGAGAATTGAAAAAATACAAAATATGGACAATTCGTTCGAGTGCCTATGAGTAACAAATACTACTCAAATTATAATGTAGCAGTTGCATACCATCCTCCTGAACATGACTACGATGCAAATGACCTCATAGAATTCTTAACTGACTCGAGTGAACTGATTACTATCGGAAAACCTAATGCAAAGATAATTATTACTGGTGATCGGAACAAATTAAATATTCGTAACTTACTCAACCAAATGTTCTTCGCCCAGTTGGTCATTACTAATACTCCCCATTATTGGAAAAAAGTCAAAGTAACGAATACCTAATAAGATCTGGTCATAAAGCTATTATTGCGTACACGAGAGATACAATAAAAGCAGAAAGGACAAACTCGTTCTTTAGAGATACAAGAGAGCACAGAAAATTAAATATGTTCAGAGAACTAGAAATCTAGACTGGAAAAAGATAATGGAATATGGGCAAACCCCCGATGAAATGATCAAAAAACGTTATGAGAGTATATGGCCAAGATTTGATAGCAGTTTCCCGCTCATAAAAGTTCGAACCTCGTCGCGTGATCCAGCATTCATGTCTCCTCTCGTGAAACATTTGTTGCAAAAAAGTTAGAAAGCCGTAGCAACAAGTGATGAAGAATCTATTTTTCGCCTACAAAATCAAATCAACACACTAATTCGAAAATTGGGGCTTTCTCGAGGTATGAACAACTGAATTATAGTACTGGTTAATACTTTACATTATACCCATTATACCGTTTTTTCATACTCCTAGGAAGTACTGAAAATAGTCATGTTTACTGTTATTGTTATTGTGTCTATAGAGTTTAGGAGGACCAGATCGGAAAAAAAGTGCAACTTTGTCTGTTTATCCTCAATAAATAAAGTGTTATTATTATTATTATTAATTCGCAGAAACCAACTGAATGCAGTCCATTGTGAGAATCAAAATCACAAAACCGGAACGAAGAAGAACAACGTCAATAATATCACTGGAAGGAAAAGCACACCTATTAGCTCTCTTATGGTCTTCAAGTGGATTTGGTTAAGCATTTCAAATTGTTGGGAGTTTATATGTCAGATGATCTATCTTGGAACAAACATGTTGGTTATATTACTAAGAAAGGTTTCAAACGGTTATATATATTGAGACAATTGAAAATTGCTGGCATATCAGATAAAGACCTGGTTCTCATTTACATTTCTCTTATTCGATCGGTGCTTGAGTATGCTGCCCCCGTTTGGGCCAACTTACCGCAGTACTTATCCGATGATATCGAATCCGTTCAACGAAGGGCATTAAAAATAATATTTCCAGACCTCGACTATTTTCAAGCCTTAGAGTCCTCTAACCTGCTTCAGTTATCTAAGATCATTAACACTAATTAAGAACCTACCATTACCCATTCGTATTCATTACGATCGCTGTCAAGCAGATTAAACAATGTCCAAACAATCGTAAGAACTAACCGTTTTAGCCAATTTGTAACAAATAAATTCTGAATAATATATATATATATATATATATATATATATATATATATATATATATATATATATATATATATATATATCATATATATATATATATATATATAATTCAGTCAAGGTTTGAATGTTTGCGTCGCTACTCTGAGTTTCACGCTTTACGCGATCATCAGGCAACTGACAGATATTATTCAATATTCATAATAAATATAGGTTATCATTTTACAACTTGATTAAGCACGTATCTGGTTACATGTCTACATTTGGAAAACAAGTCAGAGCGTTTGTTCAGGCATTCAGTTTTCTTCGCTTTCATAATAAGTAGTTTCTCCTCGAGGCATAAATTACACCGTTTAGATCCTGGTTTGTATGCTTTGACTTTCTTCATAATGGACCACTTTATTGTATACTGACTTTTTTCTGACTTCAGTTTCCAGACGTACTTGGACAGTTCGGTGTTGCTCTTGTATTCCTCATGTCGGAAAGACTTAGTGTGATTGCGGTATCTTGTTTTGAAATCGCCCGCCGTCATGCCAATGTATATTTTCTTTTCCTGGTTGTTGGCAGTGCTGGTTGTCACTTCGGCTTTGTATACGATGCTCTCAGTAAGACATTTTTTCCCAAGTGGACAGTTGGCGGGTTTTTGGCAGTTGCACATTGGCGTGTCGTTTTTTGTAGGTGTTGGTATTACCGTTGGTATGGATGATTGTATTACCCTAGCAGTTGGCGTTCGTTTTGTGTTTCGGTTGAGTATATTACGATTGTGTTTACGGATGAGATTTTTCATGTTTGTCATGCAACTGTAACTAACACGGACTGTGTGGCGGTTGAAAAGTTTGTGCAGTTTGTTTGAGGGAGGAAAATGCTTGTCAATTAGGTTTAGGAATGTCTGTGCTACATTGGTCTTAACGTTCTTGCTATAAGGTGGGTTGTACCATGTAATGTTTCGTTGTCTGTTTCGTTTATCGGAGTTATTAGTGTTGTTTTGAGTTTGTATGTACGTTAGGTTAACGTCAAAGTTGCTTTGCTTGAGAGCGTTGTTGTAAAGTGGTGCTGCTGCGTTGAATGCTTCTTCGTCACATGATAGTTTGTTAATGCGTTTGTTGACTGAGTGTGGAAGTTGTCGTGTGATGGAAGGTGGATGGTTTGATAATCTGTTTATGTACAGTGGTTCGTCATTAGGTTTTCGGTATGGTTTATATTTACCGTTTGATAAGTCAAGCGTCAGGTCAAGGAAGTTCACGCACTTGATGTTTGTCTGGGCGGTGATTCTGAGGCCAAAGCTCTCAAAAATGGTGATCAACTCTTTCCTCGCCTTGTCCGCAAGTCTGCCTGATGTTATTCTGAGGGCAGCCAAGCCATCATCACGGTATAGGCCTACGTCTTTCCCAAAGCGTTTCTCGAGTGTGTTCAGAATGAAAAGTCCGACGAGTTCGCAGACCTCAGCGCCATCGAAACTTCCCATGGTCACGTCAAACGGGGTGGTGTTGTTCTTCTTCGTCCAAGCTTGTTGGTTGTAAAAAAGAAGGGATTTGCGCGCGTGCTTCACAATGCGGATATCGCTGTCGGAAATTGCGATGAATTGTTGGCTCCATGCGATTGCACGGTCGAGTAGACTTTCAGTTATGGACGGGTAAAATTCGACTATATCGAAAGATAGGAAAGACAGTCTGTCCTTGTTAGTTAGTGAGTCAAACCAAGTGATTGTGTCCTCAGAGTTTCTCCACTGGTTTGCACAAGTTTGTCAGCGGATTTCAGTATTGATTTTGTCCAAGATGGTTTTGCTAACTTTGCCGAGATCAGATTTCGCCGGGTTTATCAATCGGCACTTTGGATGGTTTTCGAAGCCGTCCTTGTGATCTTTTAGTGAAATAAACGCCGGCGGTTGGGTTGCTGGTTCCATGCGGTTTCCGATGTTTAATTCGTTGGCCATATTTTTAAGTTCGTGGTTAATTTTGTCAACTGTTCCGTCTTGTGCCAATTTGTAGGTTTTGGTGATGTTCTCAGTCAACAATTTGTTGTATTTGTCCGCGTGCATTTCATAGATGTTATGTGTCTTGTCAGCAAAGATGAAGACATTTTGAGACGCTTCTATCTTTCGTTTGTCTTGCTCTAAACAACTTGCTCGATTTCAAAACAAGATACCGCAATCACACTAAGTCTTTCCGACATGAGGAATACAAGAGCAACACCGAACTGTCCAAGTACGTCTGGAAAATGAAGTCAGAAAAAAGTCAGTATACAATAAAGTGGTCCATTATGAAGAAAGTCAAAGCATACAAACCAGGATCTAAACGGTGTAATTTATGCCTCGAGGAGAAACTACTTATTATGAAAGCGAAGAAAACTGAATGCCTGAACAAACGCTCTGACTTGTTTTCCAAATGTAGACATGTAACTAGATACCTGCTTAATCAAGTTGTAAAATGATAACCTATATTTATTATGAATATTGAATAATATCTGTCAGTTGCCTGATGATCGCTTAAAGCGTGAAACTCAGAGTAGCGACGCAAACATTCAAACCTTGACTGAATTATATATATATATATATATATATATATATATATATATATATATATATATATATATATATATTAATACTTAAAATGTTTTTGTTGCTACTCCGAGTTTCAAAAACTGTTGCCTGATGATTGCCTTTACGGCATGAAACTCGGAGTAGCAACAAAAACATTTTAAGTATTAATAAATCGCTCTATTTTGTAATATTGAGCACTCTTCACTACATATACGTTCAAAGAAACTGAATTATTTATATATATATATATATATATATATATATATATATATATATATATATATATATATATATATATATATATATATATATATATATAAATATAAA